GGCCAGATAGATCTTTTTAAAGATCATCTTAAGGCACAAAGGGCTGCTGCCGTGGTTCATACCTTTTTTCCTATAAGGACAATAAAAAGATGCACTCAACAATGTCATAAAAATAAGCATTACCTTAACACACTCAAATCTAAAAGAAATCAAGCCAAATTTAAGTTCACATGGCAGACTTTGTGAGAAACGGTATTTATCTCTACTTTTGGTTTAATTTTCATTAACCTCTGTTTTGTTAGAGAAACAATATATCCAAGTGAAGATTATTATGCTAGTTATATTATTTAAAAGTTGGTAGGAACAGTTTTAAAAATGGCCACAAATTCTTTGACACACCTCCCATTGGGGAGATGGAGTCTAATTCCTCATCCCCTTCAGTCTGGGCTGGCCTTAGTCACTTGCCTTGTTAACAGATCAGAAAAGGTCATGGGATTTCAGCCAGATTCATTTGGAACGCTTCTTCTCTAAAGTGTCCTTTTTGGGTACCCAGGCACCATGTTATGAGGAGCCCACACCACAAGGAGAGGACACATGAAGGTGCTCTGGTCAACAGCTTCAGCTGAGCTCTGCCTCCAAGTCACTCCAGCCCAGGTGACATGTGAGTTAAGAAGCCTCCAGATGATGCCAACCCCCAACCATCTGAGTCATCCCAGCGCTTGAATCTTCCAAGCTGGCCCCAGACACTGTGGAGCAAAGATAAGCCATCCCTGCTGTGCCCTGACCGAATTCCTGACCTGCAGAATCTGTGAGCATAATAAGATGGCTGTTATGTCATGCCACTCAGCTTTGGGGGTGGCTAAAGAGGTAAAAACCGGAAAACTAGTGCTGACTCAAAGCCTTTATCTATATCTAATATTTCATTTTCTCACCACCAGCAGAGCCCAGATTTCATCATTTAGTACAGATAAGTCATTTATCCAGAGGTAACACATCACATAGATCCATGTTCTAGAATAGGACAAAGAAATTATCCAACATTAACTTTGATAGCTGTTAGCCATTTCTTAGTCACCTAAATCTGTGCACTGAATCAATAAGGTAAAGGTTCCTACATGAAGTAACTAGATAAATGCTGGCTATATATAATACATATCTTAGATTAAAGCACTCTATTTCTAATATCGTATCAGAAGAAGAGGAGATAAAGTTGTAGCAATTGTTACCAGGGAGCTACTCACAGGGTTCCATGCTATGTTTGCAACGTTAATAAAATATGTTCTTCCTCAATGGATCAATTCACAAAATTGAAAATGTTTGCACTTCACTATTTTCAAAAATCTCTCATTAGAGATAACAAGGATCTATCACAAATCGAAAAAAATATTACGGTAAAATTCTGATTTAAGAAAAATAGTCTTAAATCAATCAAAATCAGACATACTGCTTTATTCAATACAACCAAATCAATCTTACAACAAAGTATTATGTAAATGTAGGATGGAGAGTGCAGGACTGATAATGTGAAAGCTTTTATTAACAAAAGAGCCAAACTGATTTCAGAAACATTAAAAAGACAAGTGAAATTAATGTATGTCTCATACTGGTGAT